AGGTCTGTAGTCCATTTTGAATTAATATCTTTTTTTTCCAGCTTTATTGAGAAATAATTGACATCCATCACTGTATAAGTTTAAGATGTACAGCATGGTAGTGTAATTTACATGTTGTGAAATGATGACCACAATTAGCTAACATCCATCATCTCATATAGATACAATAAAAATAAAAGAAATAAGTCCCCATGTGATGAGAACGCTTAGGAACTGCTCTCTTAACAACTGTCCTACGTATCAGACAAGTTAATTTTTGTGTATGCTGTGCCAGGCACTGGGTTTTCCATACTGTTCCCATATCTCCTTACAAAGTAGTTAGGTACAATTTTTACCTATTTTACAGATAAGGAAAAGGAGGCTCAGTGAGGTGAAGATGCAGAGTGTATCTAACTCCATCTTTCTGCAGAGCTGTATGCCTCAGCGCTCAACTATGCCGACTTCTATCTCGTTCATGTTTGGCCCTAAAAACTTAGTGATTGATAGGAATCCTTTCCTACCCTGAACCACACAGGTTACTTCTATTCAAAGATTTATTCCATAACAGTCCATTTGGGAAACTAGTCTGGAAGATAGGATTCCACCAAGAAAAATGGAAATGATTTGTAAAATAATCTCTAAAGGTACTTCAATCTCGGCGTTCTATGATCTCTGGGATGTTCTCTGGAATAGGGGCGGTCAATGCTGCAGTGGATACTTTTCGCCACAAGGAGGCACCAAGAGCACAGGATACAGAAGGCAAACAGGGAAGAAGGGCCTGGTGCCTACGGAAGGGAGCTGAAGGAATGGCGAGGGCAGGGAGATTTAAGGGGAGCCCGGAGGCTAACTGTGCCCCACACTGGGCTGTATCCAGGGACCCAGGTAAGCTTCAGGCTTGCTATTTGTCAGCAAGCTCTGTGACTACCTTTACCTCCAGCCTCACCTGGGAAATGCAGGATCCCCCTCCCCAGCCATCCCCCAACCCCACCTTAATTATTAACAGCACCTGTTGGTCAATGGGAAGGACCAGCGTCCTGTGTACTGGGAAAGCGTGAATGGGGACAGGCTTGTGAGTCAGATGCCCTGAGTCCTAGATCAGCTCTCCCACTTGCCAGCCATGTGATTACTGTTAAGTCCCAGCACCTTTCTGAGGCTCAGTTTCTTAGCTATAAAATGATTGGGAAATAGAAGTAGATGGTTCCCAGGTGTCCTCCAGCAGGAGTTCTATTCAAGCTGGTTGAAAATTGGAGGAAGAAACATTCTCCTCCCCAGGCACTGGGCTAACCATTTCCCCCTTCTAAGCCTGTTTTCTCAGCTGGAAAAAGGGGGTAATATTTCTGCTTTCTGCACAGGACTGCTGTCGGCTCAGATAAGCTGATGTGTGGGAAATGGCCATAGATATGATAGGAATTCTCCTTTTAATTACTATTTGTGTTCTTGGCTTGCAAAACATATGCAAGGAAGGGGATGAACGTAAACAATTCTTGTTTTTTCTTTTTTAATTTTTTTTTAAGTGGAGGTACTGGGAATTGAACCTAGGACCTCATGCATATTAGGCACACACTCTACCACTGAGCTATACCCTTGCCAGGCAAGTCTTGCATTTTAACCTGTTGAATCTGTTTAGCGTCATTTTGTAGCTTAATACTGTAGTTCCTGGGGGGAAAAATGTTTGCTGTGGTTTACTGATAAACAAATTCAAAATTTAACAATATAATAAAACTGTGGCTGAATGGCAAATGAGTAATATTCACATGTAAATAATACAGAGGTTCAGAGGAGGAAAACATTGCCAGAGGCTTCTATGGTCAGGGAATAACTGTAGTAGTAACATTTATTGAACACCTACTACGTGCCAGGCCCTGAGCTAAGCATTTTACATAGACAATCATAAATCTTTGATTTGAAGGGACTTTGAGGGTCATGCTACAATACCTGTAAATATA